GACGAGGGCCAGAGCCACCTTTTCTATCTGTTGGTACCTAACCTCGGGCCCTTGAAGCGCCTTGCTCATGAAATAAACGGGTTTTTGTCTGTCATGAGTCTCACGAATGAGAGTCGCGGAGACGGCCAGGTATAGAAACAGGGTATCCCTGTCGACTGGTCGTGATAACACGGGTGAATGCGAAAGGCTCTATTTGAGATGGAGCAGGGCCTGCTCGCATTCCTCGTTCCATTTGAAAGTCTCTTCCTTGCAAAGGAGTTTGAAGAAAGGGAGGGTGTGTTGAGCGGATTTTGCAACGAAACGGGATAGTTAGGCGAGCATGCCATTCAAGACTTGTATGGATTTTTTCGACATAGGTGTGGGGAGGTCAGAGAAAGCTCGACACTTCTCAGGGTTGGCTTCGATTCCTCGTTCTTTTAAGTAGAAGCCGAGGAACATGCACTTCTCGGGGTTAAACCTCATTTTGCATTGCCTTGCTTGGGCAAAGACTTCCCTGAAATGAGCAGCATGGTCGGTGTCTACTCGAGACTTAACGATCATGTCGTCCATGTATACCTCGATCATATCTCCTATTTAGTTGCGGAATACTTTGTTCATCATCCTCTGATGCGTTGCTCCTGCGTTTTTCAGACCGAATGGCATTACGTTTTAATAATAGTTGCCCGAGCTAGTCATGAAAGCAGTGCAGTGTTTGTCACCTACTGCCATTGGGATTTGGTTGTATCCCGAATAGGCGTCCATAAACGATAGAATTTTATAGTCGGCCGAGTTGTCGACCAACATATTAATATTAGGTAAAGGAAATGCATCTTTGGGGTATGCCTGGTTAAGATTGGTATAGTCAATGCACATTCTCCATTTTCCATTATTTTTCTTAACAAGTACAACATTTGACAGCCAGGTTGAATACCTGGATTCAGAAATAAAATTTGCCTCTAGGATGTCTTTTATAGCTTTTTCAGCAGCCTCCGCTTTCTCCGGAGACTGCCTATGTCTATGTTGTACTACTGCCCTAGCGGCTGGATCAATGGCGAGTTGATGACAGGAGACCTCAGGGTCGATACCGGGCATCTCCGCAGCACTCCATGCGAACAGATCCGCGTTTTCCCTCAAGCAGGCCTTGATCTGCTTTCTCGCCAAGTCGGGGATTCCAGTGACAATCTTTACTCCTCTGCTTGGGTCTTCACCGAGGGGGACGAGCTCAAAGTCCCCATCCAAAATTGGTCAAAGGGGAACCTGCTCGCCGCTGGAGGGCTCATCCTGGTCGAAGCGAGTGTCCAGAGAGATCGATTCGACCTTTGGAGGGACCCTCTGTTCTTCTACTCTGACGGGCTCTGACTGCTGAGGCTCTGATCACGCATCTGTAGCTTTCTTGGCGGGCCGTGTGTTGGTGTCGATTGTGTTATGTCCCTTGGACGTCGCGTTGAAGCACCTTCAGGCGGCTGCTAGATCGCCTTGAATAGTGGAGACCCGTTCCCTCTTGGTGTAGAACTTCATTTTTAAGTGGACAGTGGAGGGCACCATGGTCAGCTCTGCCAGTGTTGGCCTGCCGAGGATGCAGTTGTAGAGGAATGGGAAGTCGATGACAAAGAAGTGGACCTTGACCTGCCTGGTAGCGGTATCCTCGCCAAATGTGACCATAAGCTCGACATACCCCCACGACTTGGAGGTCGAGCCATTAAAGCCCTACAGGTCTGACCCCACGTATGGTGAAAGGTGAGAGTCATCAAGATGCAGGGTTCTAAACAACTGGTTGTACATCACGTCGGCGGAACTTCTCTCGTCGACCAGGATGCGATGTACGTCGAAGTTAGCCAGTATCACCCTTATCAGAAGAGGGATGGCTAAATTGGGGGCCCCTCTGGGAAGCTCTTTGAGGTAAAAGGTGATCGGCTCTGATCTTCCTTTCACCCTTTCGAAGGTCACCGTTTGCGGGGGAGCTGCGTCGACCAGTTCGTCCAGCTTTCTCTTTGCTGAATTTATGGTCAGATTATTAAACCCTCCACCGTTGATGACCATGGCGGAGGGGAAGTTTTCCCACCTATTGTGCGTAGACAAAGGCTCTTACAGATGTTCGAGAACATAGAAGTCCTCGATTCTTGTGACAGAGAACGCGGTTTAGATGGGAACCAACTCGTTAGATGGTCGAGCATTCTCTTCTACTTCCCTCGTCTCACGGGCATCCTGATGAGGAGCGTCATTTCGCCGATATTGCGCAAGTCTTCCCCCCTTTATGAGGGTCTCGATGGCGTCCTTGAGGTGGACGCAGTCTTCGGTCAAGTGTCTATGGCTCCATTGATACTGGCAGTATTTGCTTCGGTCTACCCCGGGTTTGGCAGGAGCGGGGCGAGGACGCTTGACGTTGCCGTCCTTGAAGTCTGTACTTGCGCACTCCGCTAAGATGCACTCGCGGGAAACCATTAGCATAGTGTATTCAGTGAACCTCCCCGAGGGCCTCCTTTGTTCTCGTGCGTCTCGAGGTTTATCGTCCCTTCTCTTCTCGTCAGTTCTTCGAGGAGGGGCGATGTCTTGTCGCAGATTACTGCTGGATCCGAGGTTCCTGGGATCTCGGGCTCTGTTGGCCGCTTCTCTCTCCTCGTAGTCCATATAGGCCCTGGCCTTCTCGAGGAGGACATCGAACATCCGGGGTGGTTCGATACCTACGACTTTTCTGAATTCTGTGCCCGGGAGGAGCCCCCTCTCGATCAGGTATCTTTTCATGTGGTCCGTGCAGAGGACCTGGATATCCTCCCGATTGAACCGGTAATGAATTCCCTCAGGGTCTCATCGTGCCTCTGGACGATGGCCTCGAGGGCTGCTTCGGTCTTTGGGTGTCGCCGCGAAGAAGTGAACGAGTTGATGAATTGGTTTTTCAGATTTTACCAAGAGGTGATTGACCCCGGGGCGAGACCTTTCTACCAATCCATCGCAGCTTTCCTCAACATCGTGGGGAACAACCGACATTTGATCGGTCCCCCAACATTGTGAGAGCATGGCCTCAAACCCGTCTATGTGGTCGATTGGGTCGATGATGCCTTCATATTCCTTCAGGTGGGGAGGCTTCTCCATGCCCGGGGTAATGGGCGCCTCCATGATAGCTTGCGACAAGGGACCGCGGGGGTCGTCCTCGACACTCTGTTCGAGCGAGCGAGAAAGAGATCTGATGTCGTGGCGGTCACGGTGGCCCTGTTCGTGCAGAGCGGTACTTGGGCGATATGACTGTTGATGGTTTCCCCCGTTCCTGTCTCCAGGGGGTCTTCATTCTTGACACGAGGGGCCATGATCGCGCCTTCCCGCATCGACGAGCTGTTCCCTCTCCAAAGAGGGTCGTCGCCCGAGTGGTCGGGGCGACGGGCTTTGAGAGATGTCTTGATTATGTCTCTGCGGGGGAGATTGGGGATGTTCATCCGCTTGTCGAGGGGGAGGAGATTGGGGTCTCTTGTGTCTTCTCAGGGGCCTTTGATCGTCCTCGAGCGCCCTCGGTCTTTCCCCCTGAGCGAAGATTAGATAGTTGGTTTGATTGATTGCCGCGAACAGTGCCCTGGTCGTGGCGTCTGCCCCGGCGAGAACGGGGACCTCGTGGAATTAGACGTATTGGTAATTCTGGGGAGGTGGTCGATCGTCTTCTTGTCGGTGAGGCAGAGATGATGATGAAGCAGTTGCTCCATCTCTGTATTCAGAAGGTCTGGGCATGTTGACGCCAGGGACTGTGTTATGGCCGGAGGTACCGGCGTTGTCGAGGCCGGCATTGTTGTCGGTGATGTTGTTGTTAACATCGATGACACGGACGTTCAGGTTGTCTGAAGTCTGGTCAGCCATGACAGTCGATGATTATTTAGCTTTTAGTCTCAAGTGAATAGAAGACGGGGAAGCTTAGTTTCCCACAGACGGCGCCACTGATCTTACCGAATCAGAGATGGACCGTCACAGCTGGCTCGGGTAGAAGTTGAGTGAGATGGAGGGGTACCTGCAAGACACTTCGATGGAAAAGTAAGAAGCGGAATGAGCAAGCAAGTAAGAGTTCTGAGATATGAGTTGAATACTTGACCCTCTCGAAAGAGAGGGTATTTATAGTCCCCAGCGCTGGGCCAATGTCTCTTTATTGGGCTGATCAAACAGGCCCAACAAAGAGACTGTCAGGTTCTACGTGTGTAGTGGGGACCCGCATGTGGCCCTCTACTTGGATAACGTCCTCCGCAAGACAGGGAGGATAGGGACGCGATCTTTCCGAGACCATGAAGACTCTGCGAAATCCGAAGAGGTTGGAAGTCAGCCCTACGAGGACCGACGAAAAGCAGTCATGGTCGACAAGACATTTGTGGTCGGGATGTGCTCGGTAGAAATTCTGCTCGGCGCAGCAGGTTGGCAAACTTGGATTGAGCCTCACTGATAGTTGGGTTAAGGACATACCCAGTCCAGCACAACATGTTTGTTTAATCTAAATCTAAATGATTATGTTTTGTTTTTTAAAATATTTCATTTTAAAAAAAAAAATGCAAATAAATGTTTTTGGTAGTGAAAAATTATAGAAAGTTGCATTTAATTCTACAATGTTAGATTCTCACTATATTTGGCATAGAAATAACAAGAGTAGAAATCATATGTCAATTTATATTTCTATGAATAAAAAATATTTTAAAACAAATTTTTCAAAACATGAAACAAACATAGAAATGTTGCCATCTTTAATCTCACATTTATGATAATAGCATTACAATCTTTGAAACAAACACACTACTAAAATTCAAAACAAAACAAAACAATAAAACAGGAAAAACTAACATTACCCAAGATGTACATTATTAGTAGTACTGTACTATAGACAAGCAATTTCTTGAGAAAAAGACACACAATCACAACACAAACGAACACTCAAACAATCTCAATTTTGTCCATGTTTGGTTTCACAATAAATCTGACAAACCAATCCAAACATAACTTTAAGACAAAACAAACAAACAAATGTTAATGTGAAAATCGCTTAAACGTGCTTCCGAAATCTACAGAAAAATAAAACACTCCAAAGAAACATGCGGATTCATAATTGACTCCTCCATTAAAACGCCGTCGTCTGTCTCCCCGATAACCTCCTCACTCACACGCTTACCCGGCGGCGGCAACCGCCGGACGGCCCTATCTGTTGGCCTGAGCTCACTCCGACAATTACTGCTGCCAACCGTCCTGTGACACGATGGCGACCTCGATCTCCGGCGGACATTCTCACCGGGATCACGGCGGACTTTTTCGGGAAACTCCCTCCGGCGAACCGATCCTGCATTCACTACAACCTTCTTCTCCGGTGGAATATCGGGTGTCATCGCCGGTGATTTGGGCCGGCGTCGCTCTCTCCCTCTGATTCTGTTCCCCTCAACTGTGTAAGAATGCTTCCTTGATACGTCGGAGTGATTTCCATTTCGATTTCGATTCAGGCTCCGAGTTCTCTCTCTGATTCTTCGCTTGCTTGTAACTTCGTCTTCTCTCGATTCCGGCACGGTGGTGGCGGTGGTAGTGGTGGAGAAACTCTCACCTACACTGCATGTTTCTGAAAGTAGAGAAACTTCAGAGGGTTCCTCAAACGCTTTGTTCATGATGGGTTCTTTTGTAATCTCCATATTATGCATTTGGGTCTTTGTTTCTTGTGTTAAAATTGAAACTTTTCCAGGTTTTGAAATGGGTGTTTCAGTTTCAGATAGAACTTCTTTCACATATTCTTCTTCAACTGTAAGTGGTGGTGATTTTGATTGTGGCTCTTCAACTGTAAGTGGTGGTGATTTTGATTGTGGCTGTGGTTTTGGAACTCTGCATTTTGCTTCTTGCATGGGATTTTCTTGGTTTTTGAGGGTATTTTGGTCATCTTTTGGGGTGCTTATACAGCAACCCATTTGGTGGAAGTTATGAAGAGAGTTTAATTTTAGATGGCAATGGTTTTAGTTGTGATTTAAAGAAGGTTGCATTGAGTATTGCATGGTTAATTGGGAAACTTTGGTTTTGAAATATTGTTGATGATAAATGGAAAGTGTTAACGGCTATAGAAAGAGAAATAGGACTGAGGTTGGAGTGAGCATGAACCAAGATTATGATGGACCTTTAAATAGCTTTGATTTGATATTCATATTCAATAAGATATACAATAGTACAATCTTACGTTTGTGTGTATAATCTAATAATGTATTAAATTGAGTTTATTTTTTTATTAAAAAAATCAAGTGAGTTGGATACCTTAACTAATCTTTTGCCTAGAGTTAAGAAAAATGATTTGATAACATTTCGAGTAACATAAAGATTTGATAACATTAAAAAAAAAAAGTTTAATCAACAAAAATTAGTGTGATTGATAAAGGTTTTTATTCATATTTTACATGGAGGTGAATTTAAATAACACTAGCTCCTCTCTTTTTTTCCACCGTCTATATCCTTAAATATTAGATTTATGCTATGTTTGGATACGGTGGAAAATCCACAAATGTGCGTCTAGTGCAGAAGCTATACTTGTACCTTCTTTTTTTAATGGTAGGATACCCTTCAAATGTGCGTTTAGCCCTTCAAACGTGAATCTAAACATGCAGTTAAACTAACATTATTGTGGAATATGAGTCTCATCAGTATCAAGTAAAACTCATTTTATCAAGAATTTTGAGTCCAAGACATGTGCCCATAGTCTTGTGACTATGTAAGACTTACTCTTTTGTCAATACTATCACACCATTAGATTCTGGCAAGACCCTTAGGCACACACGGTCACAACCATCTTAAAGATAGAGTGACATTTATGTTTCTGAAGGTAACTAGAATTGGAACAAGCTTGAGTTCCTCCCATATTTGCACCGTAATTATCACTAGCATCAAGCCTTCCAATCTAGGTAATGATGAAAATCAGGAGGTTTTCGATCGTTTTTTAGCTAGTGGTTATTTATCAGAGATCAACGAGGTCAGTTTACTTAAGCTTTCTATTGGAATATTAAAAACGACAGTGATGTATTATGATTTAAAGCTTGCTCTTCAGCTCCTTATTCTTTCTCTTGTTGAGGCTGCTTAAAAAACAGTGGTGTATGATACAAAGCATTATACCATACTAAGAGGAGAGATTGATGTGATACATGTTTTAATTTTATTCCCGTTGCAATCATTTTGATTCTGATATCTTACCAAAGAAGATGGAAAAGATGAATTCAAAAGAGAATTCTTAAATTTTATGCAAGAAACGGAAAAATAATTCAAAAGGGAGTGATGGTTTATGCAAGAAATGGTAAAAGAAGATTCAAAAGTTAAAACATGCTGGTCATGGTTGTTGTCAATGTCATGCTAAAGTAACAGAGTAAAGCAAAGGAAAATAAAACAATATGAAAAAGTATGCATACCTTTTGAATTGTCAATTATGAAAAGTTACCCTGATTTTAAACTATACAAACACCACCCATTTTAAATCGATTAACCTTTCAAAATACTTTTGTACTGCTCTGCAAACACCACTCATTTTAAACCATGCTTTTATCAAATATTATATGCTTGAGTAATGTATCATAGCCAAAAAAGAATCATTAGTGTAATCAAGCTTTCAAGTGATTCGGCATTTCCATCCCCCACAGGGGGTTGAGAGACAGACACTAACCAGCCTGTTATAAGTCCCAACCCAAAAAGGAAATCCTCACAGCTCTACAAGGCTACCATATAATGATTGCAACTGTAACACTAAACATGGTTTTGGGACAAGTTGTCACCATAATAATAGTTGTCTCAATTTCACTTGTGACAGTGAGGAGAGTTAGATTGTCAGCTAACAAATAAACACAAAATTCGGTAGCACATGTAAAATAAATACTTCAATTTAACCATTTCAAAAGCAACAGTTTTACATGATTTCTCAAATAATAGCGCTTTCAAACTAAATACTTTTCATAGATACAACAATGAGTATAAACTGCACGGATTAAAGAGAGAAAAATTAGTTCAGGTAGATGAGAACACAGGTTAACCTTTAAGATTTGCATTTTCCAATCGAATTTATGAGCCAGTTTAATACCATTTTAATGATAGATTACACATGGTATGGGCATCAACAGAATGAAGTAAACATGTACCTCTTATACATAATGCACATGAGTAGAGTGTAAATAACAAAAATGGAAGAAAAAATAATGGATCAACAGGTATTCCGCTTTTACGAAGATGCAGCTCGATCTCTGTCAATCATGGATTTAATATAGAACTCACCTGCCTTGTATGATGACCTTACCATGGGTCCAGAGGCCACATACCGAAATCCCTATCACATACAAAGTAGAATTAATCAATTTTCATACACATGATCAAGATATGATTACTACTACAAGAAACTTTTAATATATTAGAGCTTTTTCAAAAATTAATGATATGCATGATGCAACAATTAAAAGGAGAGAAGTGTGTCATGATTACACTTGAATGATGATGAATGATGAAGTACTACAATTTAATATCTCTAGGAAGGACCACCACCGGGGAGTGTTAACTGTAACTCACAAGTACTGCTAATTTACTACTGATTAGCAAGGCATTTTATTTTACACCCACTGAATATGCAAGAACAATGCCGAAAATGACATTATTTGCATCAACTTTTGGGGAACATATATAAAACTCTAAACACCAACAAGAAGCCCAAATGTTTTGTCCTATACTGTGCACCAAATATCTACTACCCACAGAAAATAAAACAAACCACCACCAAAAGATTTTAGTTAAATGCTGACTGAAATTACGATTACGAGAACAGCAGCAAAGTTATGACAACAACTTTGGCTGCTGATAGCAATTATTTCTCGTCCAGCAAAATACATTCCTTTCATGTACTAGTACAAACAAATACGTACATATAAGCAGCAGAACCACAAGAATAAATGCTATAGACATACCATTTCCATGCCAAGAGTCTGATACTTCTCAAAAGCCTCAGGGGTAATATATTCTGATACTGGCATATGGCGTTTTGAGGGTCTCATATACTGACCAAACGTCATCACGTCAACACCAGCTGCTCTCACCTTCTCCATTGTCTTCACAATCTGGTCAGGTGTTTCCCCACAACCTAACATTATTGAAGTCTTGGTGAGTGTCCCTGCAGGGGCATAGTCCTTGGCCATCATCAGAACATCCAAAGACTGCTTAAAATTAGCCCGGTGATCCCTCACGGCACTCTGAAGCTCCTCAACTGTCTCGATATTATGCGCAAAGACATCTAGTCCTGATTTGGAAACCTTCTCCACACATTCAGCATTTCCTCGAAAATCAGGAACTGTTGCAACAAAATCAGTGCAACAATTATCACATTTATAAACTACAAGTTAAGTCTCCTTAATAATATAGTTGCCACCACTCAACTCGACAAAATATGTAGAAAACAAACCAAACTTTCAGATTTATTTCCAAAGCTCAAACCCCAATAAACATGATTTCTTCTTTAATTCTAGTTAAAAGCCTTACTATAAACAGTACAGTTCAAAAATAAACATCAATGTATGAGAAACAATGTTATCGGTGGCAGATGGCAAAACATGGCGGAGAGCCAAAAATCCGAGATATGGCGCCGCCATGTCCATCTATGGCCTCATAGTAATGCCATTCCTCACAAATTTGGCCATGGCAGAGAGCCAAAAACCACCAGCAATATCAGCCATGGCCAATTTTTGGCAACACTGATGAGAAACTCATCAACAGAAACTGCATACGGAATTTGCATTTTAGGGTACCACCTCAGAGCGGTGCGGAGCAGCCGACCGAAAGTGGGATGACAGCCCTATTTGATCCTTTTTTGGACAAATTACATATAATAATTATAAATATATATTTAATGGAAAATTAAACAAATAACTCAACTCATAAAATATCCATAAATCAAAGCACACATGACTCTTGACAGTGCATAAACGACTATGAAGGAAGGTTAAGGTTGATTCTCAACTCAAATTTGATTGAAAAACCCAAAATTACCCTAGAAACATTGTAAATTTAAGGGGCAATTTCGGTTTTTTAGAGGGAAAAAGGATACCAGGCTAGAAACCACTTCGTACTGAGAGCCGCTATCCTGCTATTTACCCTATAGCAACCGCTATAGTGTTCTTCACCGCTAAGGCTCTTCCCATAGCGGCCGGCCTCCGCTCCACTATAGCAGGACAGTGCCGCTATTGACTACCCACCTAATTCTCCCCTCTACTGAATAGCTCTAGTTGAAAAAGAAACTCACAAAAGATAGTATATCCTTTCACATTCATGCATCACTAGCTCTAATTGAAAACCATACAGATGCTCATTTATTCTATGACTCTACCTACCAAGCAAAATAAGGCTTGACCATTCTTTACTGTATTAGATAGAACAAGTTTACACAAATAACCACGTTAGTCTATTCTCAGGAAATACAAATATTCAAAATATATACCTAATGCTTCTATCAGCGTGCTAGGTTTGAGTGCCTTCAGCTTCTGCACGGTTTCAGTAAAATGACCACTCCCTTGATCAGGTAAATCATCACGATCAACACTTGTTATAACCACATAATCCAAACCCCACGACGCAATTGCCTCAGCCACATTGGTAGGCTCATCAGGGTCAGGTGGTGGTGGAGTCCTTGATGTCTTAACATTGCAAAATCTGAAAAACAACATAAACCCATTACATTGGAGTATTCTAGTAGTATTCTAGTATATACATATTCCACAAACTTCAAAGGAAAAAAGATGATTGGTGTATAACCTGCAACCTCGAGTACAAGTATCTCCGAGAATCATGATAGTAGCTGTGGCAGTGCCGGTTTCACCACCGGACCAGCACTCTCCCAAATTAGGGCACTTTGCCTCTTCACAAACCGTATGAAGCTTCAATTCACGGAGCTTTTTCTTAATCTGCA